TTATAGTGTGTTTTTTTCAATCTTTTTTTTATCATGCTTCAGTTATTTTATTGGCAAATCTCAAATGCATGGCATATGAAGATTGGTTAAAAACTGGGAATTTAGAAGATGGATTTTTTTCTGTTTAGTTTTAGAGGATAGCACTAGGATCAGAGGGTAGACGGTAGACATGATAGCCAAATATCATAAACTTCTGACTAGAAATATTGGAGCAGATCCTGTGTGACCATCTCTGAGGGACATTATGGAAGGGATTCTTATTTCAGATAGGAGGTTGGATTTAGTGACCTTTCTCACATATAATCCAGCCATGTTAAGATTATGGGTCAAATGCTACATGTGTGGCCCATGTAACAGCAGTTAGGACTTAACTTTGACCCTTAATACAGTTAACTCTTGTCCTAGATTCATGGTTTAAATTGTCTCCCAAATAACAAGTAAAAATTATTGGTATGTTCTAAGTCCTTTTATAAAAGGAAAGTAGAAATTACCTTTATAACCATGTGTTTTAGGTCTGTTTTCTATCGATCATATAAAGAACAGGAATCTAAAAAAGGATTTGATCAAGAAGAAGTTTTTGAGAAGCCAACCCGTGAAACATGCCAAGGTAAGTGATACTGATGTTTAAATTACGGAATTTTATTTATTTATTTTTAAAATTTTATTGTTTTTTTAATGTTTATTTATTTTTGAGAGAGGGAGAGACAGTGGGAGTGGGGGAAGGAACAGAGAGAGGGAGACACAGAATCCGAAGCAGGCTTCAGGGTCTGAGCTGTCAGCACAAAGCCCAGTGTGGGGCTTGAACTCACAAACTGTGAGATGATGACCTGAGCCAAAGTTGGACACTTAACTGACTGAGCCACCCAGGCGCCCCTAAATTATGGAATTTAAAGTTAGTTAACTTTACCATTGCTTTCCTGAATAATTTTTCTTCTCCCTCCCCCCAACCTCCCACCACATGAGAATATGTTTTCATGTTATTCTTAGAACTCTTATATAAGAAAATATGTGTGTTTGCTAAAAGTCTTTGCATGTAAGAGCTGGCTTATTAGAGTTCTTCCATCCTGGTAGATCCTGCATTGAAGAGGGTATTTAGGAGATTAGAGAGGTCATATAATTTCATACAATACGCTACAGCCCCGTTCTTACTTGTACTGTGAACTGTCCGTCAGTTTATGTGTTTGCATGGGAACTCCCTCTCCTCTCCACATTGTAGTGTGACTACATTTGTGTAATCACAATATTTGTGTACATTTAACAGACAAATGAGAGGACACCTAGCACTTTTTTTTTGTTTCTTCTAGAAAACAAACTTATTTTCTAGTTATTTTCACAGGTACTTAAAAACTGTGTATGCAGTGGAATGGATGGATGTCCCAGGGAAATGGGGCATCTCTGCCACAGTTTTGACTTCTAATGGTATTGTGTGAAGTAAAATGTGTTACATTTTTTAAATCATCTATTCCATTCCTGTGGGTGGTTCTGTGTAGTAATGAATTGATGTCCATCGAAGTTAAGATTTCCACAAGATGAAATTAAAAGTTTCTGTGGGAGGATGTGTGTTAGAGGCATAGTCTTTTCTCCTTGATATTCCTTTTCATGTAAAAAAGAGATCAGAACATGGCAACACCCTTATCCAAAGTCACCCAGCAAATAGTCTGATTTTCCAGTGCTCAGTCCAGTGCTTTTTTTTTAAAAAATTCATGGTGTTAAAGATTCCTGTGAACTTCCCTCTGACTTGGAAATGATTTATGTATTTGCTTTTTAATCTTTTAGAGGGATTATGTGACATTGTAAATACTTTTCTATATAGTAGTACCATTTCAGAAAATTCCTTGTCTGTTTCTTCATAGGTATGAGGCATGCCATTTATGACAAGCTGGATGATGATGGTTTGATAGCTCCTGGAGTCCGTGTGTCAGGAGATGATGTTATTATAGGCAAAACAGTCACCTTGCCTGAAAATGAAGATGAATTGGAGGGCACTAATCGACGCTATACCAAGAGAGATTGTAGCACATTTCTTAGAACTAGTGAGACAGGAATTGTGGATCAGGTTATGGTAACTCTCAATCAGGAAGGATATAAGTTTTGTAAAATAAGGGTGAGTATAGCTTTGTCATATTTGTATGTTTGTGAAGAGCTGTTTATAAAAAGTAAACCAGTTTGAACTAACCTCTTTTTGTATGAATTCAGGTCCGCTCTGTTAGAATTCCACAGATTGGAGACAAATTTGCTAGTCGACATGGTCAAAAGGGTACTTGTGGTATTCAGTATAGACAAGAGGTGTGTGTCTTTTATCTCCCTCACCCCCACCCAAAGTTCTGTTTAACATTTTATTAAAATTTGCTTTAATTTAAAAGTACAAAGGTGATAAAGGCTTGACTTTTTAGTGTTGAATAAGTATATGAAGATACCATGTTGAGCACAATTGTGGACGTAGAAAACTTCAAGGGTGGGGGCCAGTTCTAGTTTTGTAGCTAAGAGAGTTAAGTTTGTCTCCTTTTAAAAATCCCTTTATAGGATATGCCTTTCACCTGTGAAGGTATCACCCCTGATATCATCATAAATCCCCATGCCATCCCCTCTCGTATGACTATTGGTCACTTGATTGAATGTCTTCAAGGGAAGGTAAGAGATTTTCTTTAAAAATATATACTCCAAACTAATGTTTCTTCCAAAATGATGATATGTGATTTCTGTCATATTTGAGTTTGGGGTTCTTTGTTGGAAAAAGCTAGTATGATACTCATTTTCCTGCTTTTAAATTGGTTATGATTTTTTCCCCCCTGGCAAAAATTTGTGAAGTTTTGGTTATGTCAGAATTTTTGTAAAATTTACTACATCCAGCCTCTACATACATACATGGTTATTCTTTAGACTGGTTCTTTTCTATAGATGAAGAGTTAATTCATTGGTGGTTAGTTCAGTATGCACTTAATAATTTTATAGCTATATTACTAGCTATAAAGTTTTCTAATTTTAAGTATCTTGTTAAGGTGGAATGGCTAACCCTAACCCTAACCCTAACATGCGTGACTTGGTTTTAGGGCATTAAAATGTCATTTTCTTGGAGCCATAGGTGGGAGTCTCATTCTTTTTGTGTCTGGTCTCAGGGATAGCTTCCTTTTTTTTTTTTTTTTAATTTTTTTTTTGTTTTTTTGTTTATTTTTGAGAGAGACAGAGACAGAATGTGAGTCTTTTTGTGTCTGGTCTCAGGGATAGCTTCCTTTTTTTTTTTTTTTTTTTTTTTTTTTTTTTTTTTTTTAATGTTTATTTATTTTTTTTTTAATGTTTATTTTTGAGAGAGACAGAGACAGAATGTGAGTGGGTTAGGGGCAGAGAGAGAGGGAGACACAGAAGCAGAAGCAGGCTCCAGGCTGTGACCTGTCAGCACAGAGCCCTACGCGGGGCTCGAACTCACAAGCTGTGATATCATGACCTGAGCCGAAGTCGGATGCTCAACTGACTGAGCCACCCAGGCGCTCCTGATAGCTTCCTTTTTGAAGGCTTATAATGGAATTAGTTTAATCTTTTTGGTAGATTAGTTTGTTATAAATATTATTTCATGTAAGATATTAATAAAATGAAACTTATAGTATTACAGCTTTATGTAACATAGATTTTTAAGTTCAAAATCTTACCTGTATAGAAAGGATTTAAATTGAATATATTTTTATTAATGAAAGTCTCCTTCTAAGAGGAGACTAGCCTTTTAAATACTTTTTTTTTTTTTAAAGGTATCAGCTAACAAAGGTGAAATTGGTGATGCCACTCCATTTAATGATGCTGTTAATGTGCAGAAGATTTCTAATCTATTATCTGATTATGGCTACCATCTCAGAGGAAATGAGGTACGTTTGCTCTTTAGTAGTTATGTCTGTTCTGTTTTGTATGTGTGTACTTTCATTCTTAAAAAAGATCAACCCTTTTATTGAAGTATGACACATACTTTATATACACAAATCATTAATGTGCAGCTTGATGAATTTATTTTACACAAAGTGAACACACCTTGTGTGACTGGCACCCAGATCTCGAAAAGAAAATTACCAGTACCCTTTTAGTCCTAGATACCCCCTCATGTCTCCTTCCAGTTTTTACTACCTTCCCACCCAACCCCAAGGTAAACATTCTCTTGACTTTTTATTAGTTTTGTCTTTTGATTTTTGTATAAATGAAATCATACAGTATGTGCATGTATATTTAGTATTTTAAGTCTGTACTCCAAAATTTGTTTCAGGTCCTGTACAATGGGTTCACTGGTCGAAAAATCACATCACAAATTTTTATTGGTCCTACATATTACCAGCGTTTGAAGCATATGGTGGATGATAAGATTCATTCTCGTGCCAGGGGACCTATTCAGATCCTTAATAGACAGCCCATGGAGGGTAGATCTCGGTAAGAGAGCTGCATCACCATCATTGTTATTATTTATTTATTAAAAAAAAATGTTTATTTTTAAGAGTGGGGTTGGGGGGAGAGAGACAGAGAGGGGGGTTGGGACAGAGAGACCGTGAACCCCAAGCAGG